ATATCGATATATGTATTTCTTTTCTTTCAGATTTATGACGTCATTTTAGCGACGTGAAGTGAATATATGCAGTCGACCGATTTGAATTTAATCATCAGTAATGCACATGAAGTCGGTTGTGCTAATATTGGTTTGATCAGTTCATCTGAAGTTCATCGAGTTATATTAACAAAGGTGTTTTCGATACCAGAGAATAGGCTTGTTTTGATCAGTGACACGATGCGACAACGTCTTGGTCTGAATATGAACAAGACATTACCTCCACACAGTTTCGGTTCTTGGATCGACAATATCATTCCATCTCGTGGCCCATATCAAACATGTGAAGACGTTCATTTATCAGTTGATCCCATCACTTATAGACTTAAATCTATTGCTTATCCTGTTTTAGTTCCAGATCTACCTGTTGATTTTGTATTAGGTACACTATTTTTTAATGAGTTAAATCTTATATGGAGTTCGAGTTTAAATCGTCTAATTACTCGTAGGGAAGAAGAAGAAGACAGAGAGGAAGAAGTTCGTCGACAAACCTATCGAAATATTCTATAGAAAGAATATAATAGAAGAAATTCAACAAAATATTTGTCCTTTTTTTTTCGCGAAAGAAATTTATTGCTCAGACCTTAAAGTTCTTTTTACTGGTCTTTCTTGTATATACTGAGTATATTTCTTCAATAAGATCAGTGCTGAAAAAAATAATAGCTTGTGAAATATGCTTTCAATTTCGTAATAAAAACGATCGTAGTCGAGAATAAAAAGTCAATTTGTCTAAGTTTTTTTCGTCATTGTTGTTTATGCTTAAAGATACTCTTGATCTTTTTACGTCAAAAAAGAACGTGTTTTTACGGAAAGATGTTATCTTTTTTCAATTGTACGAATTTCTGTATTCTATTGTAGACTTTCGTTCCATTTTACTGTTTTGAGTTAATTGTATTCTGTAAATATAATCGATTATGTATCGAGTCAAATAATTTGTTTTATTTATTCTATCTCAACTAATGTGTTTAACCATTCATATCCGTCGCTTATTTAATAATATAAAATATAGAAATAAAACAAACAAATATTATCTTAAATCAACTAAATATAGGCCGTTTCGCCGTAGATCAAATGCTCAGCATGTTGTCGCTGTCAACGAGTGGAGACATATTGAATAAATCAGCCGATTGTTCAACATTCAATTGTAAAGATTTAACCTATTTGACTGTGAAAACACGTTAAAATGCTGTATTTTAACGGAGTCCCACACGTTAATTGTGCCTTAATCTCAATTTAACAAGAAAACACTAGTGAACCTCTGTTAACTCTTTGAGTACCATTACTCAATCAGCGAACAAAATTTCTTTGAGACTTTATATTTAATATGAGTAGTGTGTATTATGGATATTTTCATCAAAACTTTTTCAAAATCGTTAAAGCCATTTTCGACCCATGCCCGTACTCCTCACGGGGATGGTGAAGAAGTATTTTGGTCATGCTGTAGAGGAGTACGGGCTTAAGTCAAAATTCGTTTGAGAGCTGTTGCAAAACAAATTTTTGGAACATCAATAGGAGTCACTAACATGATTCCAACACGAAAAACCGAAATATTTTATGAATCGCAAAAGGATATCACTCGCTGTCCTCATTTTTACATTAGTCTACTACAGTTATCGATCAAATGATTGATACAGAATTCAATCATTTAAAACTATGTTCAGCAATTCGAAAATAATCTAAAATTAGCTATAGATGGTCTTCTAAATATTCAGCATGGTTATCAGACGAATGACTTTACCATAGTTATAGTTCTTATATAGGTGTGTACTGCAGTCTCTTCTATGTCATAAAGAGAACCGCTTCTCGATATCGTTTTGCCTTCGCGAGTAAATCAAAGATTACGAAGCTTGAAAAAATTGTACTATATTTAGTACGGTGGTACTGAAAGGGTTAAAATGCAGGATTTGAAAGCTTTTCACGGCAAAATAGATAACATCTTTTTTTTCTTTAAGTCGTTGAATTTATAAAATTTTTTCAGAGTATAGTGCCTTCTGTATGAAGTTTTTTTTCCTTTTGAGCTTCTATCAACAAAGCTCGATGAAATGGATTATGTATAGTGAATCTTTATGAAAAAACAACTAAAAAGAAGACTGACGTAACAAGAATCACAAATATTTTTTCGAATATGTCTCTGTTTAATGTCCAGGATTATTCAACGAAATATCAATGTCTTCAATCACTTTAGTTAATTGTTGTTGTCCAAAACTATCATCTTTGTGTATATCAACATGATCATCAATGAAGATTTTTAAAGTCAGAAAAAGAACAGCATATGCAGAACATAGTGAATTTTTAAATTTCATAGTGTACAGCGCGTACTTCGTTTTCTCACTCAGAGTCTGCACAGAGTGCACTTGTAAAAAATAGATATTCAGCGCACTCTACTACATCAGCGCGCACTCTCTCATTAGAAACACTGATTCGAAGTTAATCCTTATTAGTTTTATAGTGAAGACAAGACCCTAGTGTGCCACATACAATATGATAATTCATAAATATTATTTATTAAACTCTTTAAACTTCCACCATCAGCTAAAATTTCTTAGATTTATTTAGTCCTTAATTAACAAAATTCGATGTGATGAAAAAAATTGTGATTTTGTTATAATTTCAGATCGATGAATATCGATCGTTTTCTTTCTTGGTTTAATTCAACTGGTGTTAATACTGAAAATGTCAATGTTTATTATTCAAATAATTGTGGTTTTGGTCTTTATTCTCGTCGATCATTGATTGAAAATGATTCTCTTGTTCTTTCAATACCTGAACATCTTTTTATAAAACTATCATTTGAAAATAATGAATTAACAGGTTTTGAAGATTTAATTATTTATTTATTTTACAAAATAAAATAAATCCATATATTGAATTTCTTCGATCTATTCAATCTATTCCACAATGGTGTACTTTTTACAATGATAAATATCCTCGACAATTAATTCATAAAATGAATAAACATTTAAATAAATATAATCAATCACGAAACAAATTTTCACAATATAACGATGAAGAATTTAAATGGGCTTATTATACAATAAATACACGATGTGTTCATTTTGATATGGAAATTGATTCAAAAGATCAAGATAATAATCTTTGTCTTATTTCATATTTAGGTTAGAATCTATTTATCATAAAAAAAAAATTATCTTTTTATCTTTTAGATTTTGTTAATCATTCAATCGAATCAAGTACAATTTCAAAATTTAATCATTTAACTCATTCATATGAAATTCGTACAATAAAATCAATAGACTTGAATGAACAAATAACATTTCTTTATAATTCTCATTCCAATGTTGATTTATTTATTGAATATGGTTTTATTTTATCATCAAATCCTTATAATCAATTAAATATTGAATATGAACTTGAACAAATACTTTCAAATCAACAAATTCAATTAATAAAATCGTTTAACTATTGAAATTCATTAGAATTTTATTCAGGTAATAATGATATTTCATGGACTGTTATTAAAGCGATTGAATAAACTATTAATCAAGATAAATGGTCATCATATGATGATTCATCATCACAAAATAAACATCAATTAACAAACAAACTGAAACTATTTCTAAATATAGTTAAACAAAATATCGAAGAAGATTTTCAAGAATGGACAACAGATCATTTTACTACCGAGAAATATATTTTCTATAATGATTTTTTGACTATTATTCATGATACATCTATTGTTATTGATAAATCTATTGATGTTTCCATACTCTTTTATCTATTATTTACTTCTCAAATTGAATCTGATTTTTTTAATCGCAACATTGAAAAGACTTGATAGATGTGCTGCCATATAAACTAACGAGTGCAGCAGGTTGAATGACCGTGCTTTGCATTTCAATTTTCAATCACTTTAATACATTGTATTAGAAAACAAAATATACCAGAATATGCAGCGTGAAAAGCTCTACAATCTGCATAGAACTGTTTATTTTATAGTTACACTTTTTGTTTTCAAAATAAGCAAAACTCTGTACGAACAATAAATGATCTTGTTCGCAGCGCCGAAAATTGATCGCATAGAATTTTGTCGCTTTTGAAAAACTAAAAGTACACAATTAAAATAAACTTTACTTTGAAGATTGTAGAGCTTTTCACGTTGCATCTTGTGGTATATTTTGTTTTTTTTAATACAACGTATTAAGTGATTGAAAAGAGAAATGCAAAGTGCGGCCATTCAACCCTTTTGTAACACCTGTTAAAGAATAGAAATATTATATTGTAACTTATAATAGTACAGGAAAATACACTAAAGCCGTCTAGTAAAATTAAATACTTCTGTCCCTACGTAGCCTAATAAGCGTACACATCGATTCGCAATGAATTTGCAGAATGGGTTTGTCAATTCGTGGATCCATTTTCAACCGCTGGATCAGTTCGTAATACGAATTCGCTAATTCGTATT